CAAAATGTTGTGGGATTAGGTCATTTAGTATTTTTGAATGTTGTGTCCTCCTTCACTGTACGTAATGTACATTTCCATTTTCCAATGCAACTGTACTCTTTGACAATTTCGTGAGTTTTCACTTTTCACAAAGGCTCCATATTGAAAATGACATACAGTCATCACGTTGTATGCTTTTTTTTTTTTTTTTTTTTTTTTTTTTTTTTCTTGGAACAAGGTTCAAATTAGTTACTTAACGTAATATGAAAATGCAATTATATCACTCAACAAAAAAAAAGGTGTAATTAGACCACTGAACACTCAAAAAACGTGCAATTATGTCACAGAACACTCCAAATATATGCAATTTCACTGGATAGCAGGTTACGATCAATTTTAGTAGGTTACCTACTTACGTGACAGCTGAGTTGTCATTTTAATAATTTTTAAATAAATTTTAATAATAAATTTTTTTAAAGATTGAAAAAAATAAAAATAAAAATAAAAAATAAAACGACCCGTCATTTTTTTAATTTTTTTAATTTATTTAAAATAATTTAAAAATTATTAAAAACGAGAACTAAGCTGTCACGTAAGTAAGTAACCCGCTAAAATTGATGGTAACCTGCTATCATGTGAAATTGCATACATTTGGAGTGTTCAGTGGCTTAATTGCACTTTTTTTTAGTTCAGTGATCTAATTGCATTTTCAGGTTACGTTCAATGACCAATTTGAACCTTATTCCTTTTTTCTTTATGTACCACTGTACTACTAAGAGAAAAAGGAGAACAATACTTTCTCTAAATAATGGGAATTTTTAATTTAATTTGTACAAATTTATAATTAGATACAGTACTAAAAATTATATTTTTCATATTTATTATTCTACTAATTATACGCAGATTGTACGAATAGTTTAATACCTAATGTTTATATTTAGATACATATTTGAAAGTATATCAATGTAAGATTATATAAGAAAAGTTTATACATAAGTAATTTAATGTTAATTTTGTTTATTTAAATATGTAACTCAAAGTATATGAATGCAAGATAATATAGAAAATTCATTATAATTGTCACTAAAATAGATGTTTGTAACTTTGTAAAATCGATAGTCTTAGTACTTGGTGTAAAAACGATAGTATAAATAAATACTACTTTTGATTTGAATTTTTCTAAGTATTCTTAATTCTCTTTTGAATAACATTGTCATTGTCGATCTTCATCTTCATTATTTGTCATGTCTCTTCCTTTTTGTTGGTAGTGTGTTATTTACAATTGGGTTATTGTTGGTAGCATAAATGACAATATCATGCAAATTATAGTGTAAGAAGCTGTGGATTTTTTGCTTTATATAATACAAATTATATTTCCCTTTCCTTACTCCTAAGTCATCTCACATACACTATGCCACACAAGCAAAAAATCCAACAAAAATGAACAAGTTTAATTTATTTATTCATGACCAAGTTTATTTATTTATTCACTTATTAAACAAGTTTAATTTATTTATTCATGACCAAGTTTAAGTATTATTTTCAATTTAGAGTTTGTTGGTATGTTTAATGAAAGCAAATTTAATTTAAGGAGTAAATACCGACGGAGGTCCTCCAACTTTGGTGGCACTGCCACTTTTAGTCCTCAACTTTTAAATCAACCACTTTTAGTCCTCTTACTTTTTGTTTCTAGCCATCTATGGTCCTTTCGTTAAACTTGACCATCTAATGCCCCTTTTTAAAAGATAATTCAGTCCTTTCATAATTAATTTATTAATTATTATGTTTAATTTCCTCATTAGAATAGCCAAACAATGGTTTCCCAGCTATGAACGTGTACAAAACCAGTTCGTGAATCAAAATGGCGTACAAAAGTTGGTACCAAAGTTGTGTCAAAACGCCGTCGGGATACTTGGTATGACTCGGCAAACATAATAATTAATAAATTAATTATGAAAGGACTAAATTATCCTTGAGAAAACGACATTAGATGGTCAAGTTTAACAGAAGGACCATAGATGGCTAGAAACAAAAAGTGAGAGGACTAAGAGTGGTTGATTTAAAAGTTGAGGACTAAAAGTAACAATATCACCTCCGCTAGTATTTACTCTTAATTTAAGCTTATAATGGATCGCATTAGGTTTAGAAGACCGCAAAATTAAATATACAATTGTGCACAAACAAATGGGCTTTTGTATTAGACACCGAAACTTTGGTATGAAATTAGGTAGGGGCCGCGCGAACGCAGGCCCCCTCTACCACAAATTATGACGTAGGCTCCACCTATAAGGTAGACCTTAGGTTAACACCCTTCCAAAGTGCAATGGAAGTCATCAACCTAGGCCATGGGCCTTGCTGGTCACCCATTGACCCCGTCCAGGTAAGTATGTTATCCCATTGCACTCGGCCCATTTTTATAACCTACTGCTCTGCTCCACTTTCTGTGTTCAACCGATGTGGGAATCCCTTGGGTATGCAAATGAAGTAATGAACCACTTCTTCTTCTGCTGCTCTTTTCTTTTGCTGTTTTTCTTACTGCCATTTACAAAATCTAAATTCCTTAGCGTATTTATTGCATCCACAAAAGTTAAAATGGTAATAAGATGCAACTCTTAAACCAACTATTCTTCACAAAAATAATTGCAGATCATATGTATGTCTGTCTGCTTTGTTGCTTGGGGTTGTGAGAATGGAAAAAGTTTATTCAAAGCTTCAGAGGAATAATCTCTCAATATTCAAAGGATGATGTTAAGGCTCAAGACAGCAACAGCATATATCCATTATCCACTGATGGAGAAAAAAGAAGACAAGACCGATGGAGGAAAGGCGGAGGAAGAAAACAAAAACTGATGGCGAACTTGTTATTTTTAAAAAAATGGAGGGCAATTAAAAAGAAAAAATAAATAAAAAATTAGATCAAAAAATTACATCCATTAGATTTGAAATCAATGGTTAGTAAGGGGTGTCATTTTTGAGGAGCAATTTCCAAATATAAGTATAGGAGAGATTAATTAAGATTCAATTCGAAATCTGAGCTTGTTAAAATGATTTGTTTAATTTGCAAACGTAACTATTGTTGCTATAATTTTTCATTTCACTATATATGAACATGTAATAGTTCTTTTTTTTTTTTTGAAAAGGAACATGTAAAAAAAAAAATAAAAATAAAAAAAAGAACTATTACATGTAATAGTTCACTAATTATTAAAAGATTAAAAAAATAATCTAACAAAAATAATGTATTTATTGAAGCATGTGGTCCATCTCAACTAAAATCCTAAGTTGATAGTTAGATTGCACATTTATGGTTATATGTTCAACAATATTCACCTAGATTCTAATGTAACAAGTTGTTCTATTTGCACCATCTATAAAGCTAACACACCTATAAAAAAGTGAGGTAAATAACAATGAGGTGATGCAAATAGAATTCTCCTTTAAAATTCAGGTCCTTTCTACTTAACTTGAAACCCTCTTTTCTTTAAATTAAAGCCATATCATATAATTTTGACTGCAGAATTGCAAATTCACTTTTCATTATTATTATTATTATTATTATTATTATTATTATTATTATTATTATTATATTGATTAAAGAAATAATTCTTTTTTTAATAAAATGATATGAAAGTGAGACCATTTTTTAAAGAGGGGAGAGAATTGTATGGATGAAGACTGAATGGTGATTACCTGTAAACTTAGTGATATGTCATTTTGAAAGTGAGATAAAATTGTAAATTAAAGTGAAAATAACCTTAGCATTTTATTAAAGTGAAAATAATCTTAGCATTTTATTTAGGATATGAATGCAATGTGCTTTAATTTTTAATTTTTTATTTATCATTGATCATTCTACCGTTTTCAATTAAACCATAATATTTTTAAAACAACAAAAAAAAACTTTCTCTACGACATTTATTCTAAAAATAGTATCATAGATTGATTATTCATGCCAAATTTGTAGTTTATTTAAAGCAATGTGATCAATTAAACATTATAAATTTTCATAATTAATTAATATACTTAAGACTTCATAACTATATATTATTTAATTTGCGCCTTTGCCAAACAGGATTAATAAGCTATATATTATTTAATTTGTAGTCTCGAAAATAAATTTTTCGTCAACTTCTATTAAGCTTTTAAATTGTTGATGATTTTTCTTTTAGTAATTTCAACTGTATCCCAATTGCTATTTTCAACCATGTTTTATTGTATGTTTGATAGAAAAAAAAAAAAAAAAAAAAAAAAAAAAAAAAAAAAAAAAAGCTTAAAATAACATTTAAAGTGATCGTTTTGACATTTTGTAGTATAATTTTAAGTGAGATTCACTTTCAATTTGAGTCCATTCAAACTAGATTCCAGTTCTTTTAAGTAAGATTTTTAATTTGATATAGGAATAAGGTTCAAATTGGCCACTGAACGTAACATGAAAATGCAATTAGGCCACTGAACGAAAAAAAAGTGCAATTAGGCCACTGAACACTCAAAAAATGTGCAATTTCACCTGATAGCAGGTTACCCTCAATTTTAACAGGTTATCTGCTTACGTGGCAGCTGAGTTGGCATTTTTAATAAATTTTAATTATTTTTTAATAAATTTTAATAATAACTTTTTATTAAAAAAATTTTTTTAAAAAAATAAAAACGACTTTATTTTATTTTTTATTTAATTTTTTCCAATTTTTTATAAAATTTATTATTAAAATTAATTATTAAAAATGCCAACTAAGCTGCCACGTAAGCAGGTAACCTGCTAAAATTGATAGTAACCTGCTATCCGGTAAAATTGCATGAGTTTGAAGAGTTCAGTGGCCTAATTGCACATTTTTTGAGTGTTCAATGGTCTAATTGCATTTTTTTTTCGTTCAGTGGCCTAATTGCATTTTCAGGTTACGTTCAGTGGCCAATTTGAACCTTATTCCTTTGATATATTATAAGCTTAAAATGAATAATAGATAAATAAAAAATTGATTTTCAATGTGTATCCATTTGAGTTGGAATGTCTTTGTCCCACACAGCCACACTGGAAACGGGATGTGAGCAGTTTACATTAGTATATACTCTGTATACAATTTCTCATTTTGAAAAGTTTGAATTGTATAAAGATGTTGAAAGAAAAATTAGATAAAAGGAGCAATCAAATTCAAAGACAATATTGCTGGGCAGCCTCAAGCTTTCTCCCAGACAAGTTGTGTTTACCCTTGCCATCTAGAGGAAGTTCCTTTGGAAAGACCCAGAAGAAAATCTGGAAGTCAAACCCTTTGTCATATTTTCGGCGTCGAGTTTCACACTTTGCCTTCCAGCCGTCAAATCCTTTTCGCGATCCCAAGGTTTCCATGGATGGTTTCCTTCCCATTCTTCTTTCTCCACCTCCCCCTGCTTTGCTTTTTTCTTGGACTTGCTCCGAGCTTTCTCTTGATGCTTTTCTACCAAAGATTTTGATCGGTTAGCCTTGTTGTACTGATCCACGAGTTCAGCATCTGCATTTTCCCTTTTCGTATCCTGTTCTTTAGAAGCAAGTGCAGTAGCCTCATTGTAGGCTTCTAAATAACTGCAATATCAATATACAACATTTATTTTAGTGTTTTTTAATCAAAGCCAAAATGCCCATCTAGAATATATAGAATACCAAACTCACTTCATTTTGGCTTTCAGTGCTCTATCTGAAGGAGCATCTGTCCAGACACTAGTATCACCGCGCCCCTCCTTGGAACTCTTGCTAAATGTTGTTGAATGCATTGGCATGCCGCCAGGCTAAGGTAGAAAATGAAACAGATAATTTAGTTTAGTTTCAATTTGGATCACAAACTTCTACGTCTAAATCAGAAGTTTCTTTAAGGTAGTTGAGCATTCTTTCCAGTCACTAAAAGATACTGAAAAACATAAGTAGGTGTAGCTCTCACTTTTCTTTCAGGAGGCAGGGTTGTCATCCATTCATCTCTTTTTGGTGGTGCTTTCACCCCCACCTCTGCTAACAGTATATCATCACCCTCCATGGATATACCTGGCAGCCAGCAACTGTCAGTTTATCATCAAGATCATTAACTAAACAAGTTAAGAGCAGTAACAGAAATAAAAAAAAAATTATTGTCAAATACAGCTGTCATCAGGAGAAATCTCCGATTTATAGTCAATTCACAAGATTCTGTATAAAATATAACACTTCAACATCTTGATAGTTCATTACTCATATTTTGCATAGAGTTAGGTATAAAATATATTTATTACACATACAAACACAAATTTTAGTAAATCTCCTTTCCATTTGCCGAGTGCACAGTATATAATATCTTGCAATAGAATTGACCAAGTGATGTGGCAAAACCCACAAAAACCTTCCAAAGTGGAAAAATGAAATATTTGCATTTCATCTGCTCAGTGCTTCCCACAACCCACACAAAAACAAATGAGTAAAAAAAAAGGTGAAAATGGCTAACCTTGCAAACGTCTCCACTGTGCAGCTTCACGCATAGCTTGCAAATCTGCCTACAGAGTAGAAACACATGTTAACACAAAAACAGTGTCACAAAAAAGAAGAGCTTAAGCATGTCTATGCCCAATGGAGCACCAAAACTTTACCTTCATTTCCTCCTGCTCCTCCTTAAGCTTTATTTTGTCATCCAATGCTTTTCTCTGAATGAGATGTCATTTTATAGAAACATCAAGATATTTCTTATGCATGTAAGGAAAATATGCACACATTAAAACCATCAGCAGAAGAAAACATATTGTAATTCCACAACTTAAGAGTGAAGAGAGATATACACCATGCCATTCACATAAAAGTAAAACTTCTAATTATCTTAAATGCCTCGGCTCAATCATCAAAAGTGAAGTTCATATGCGGATAAAAAATAATTGGCTCCCACATTCTTGAGGAATGACACTAAAACACCATACCATTTTCAACCCATAGAAACATTAAACCAGCCAAGAGTTTTGCAGAAGAGATGCATAGTTGCCCCCTTCCCAGTACCAAACATCATAATATGCTGATTTGAGAGGTGCAAGTACTATTGTTATTACCTTTTTTGCTCAAAACAATGAAACAAGTATTGCTTTTAAAGACAAGTCTTTGTCTGTTTTTGATAGTCACCTGATAAGTCTATTTAACTATTAATATGGCAGTCTGCAATAGGGCTGCAAGCCCACTTGCAAGTTAGTTGGGTATAAATCCCCATCTTAGTATTGATCATGCTTGAGTAAATGTATGTGTTCCCCATTAGTATTACAAGCCTAGCAAGCTTCACTTTTTCTTTCGCATTCTCTTGTATAATAGAATGATGTTCTACTCCCTTTAGATATAAAGTCCACCATCAATCACTAATCTTCTTCAAGCACCATCCTCCATTCCTCCCTCCCCATTATTCCCTCTCGCATGGACATACAACCCAGAGCCAACATCTCACTGAACTCATAATCCCAACCAGTCATCCTTCAAGCCTCCATTCCAATTAATATGTAATAACAAAGCAATGTATCAAGATTTAGGAATCCAAAAATGACTGTTATCACTAAAAAAACATGCCTCGGCTTCCTCAGCATTACACCTGCTACATGCCCTTCTAATATTTCTAGTCCAAACCTTCAATTGTTTTTAGAGGCATTTCAGACCCTGCAATTCTTCTGTCCTTTTCTGATCTCCCTCACTTATCACTTATAACAAAGTTTTTTTAATTGATAGCAGAGTGTATATAACTGAAAATTAAGTTAATCATTAATGTGATTTCTCTTTTCAAGACACAAAATTCTGCCTGAATATTAACTTACTAAGTTTGTTACAAGTACAGATACAGCACTCACCTTATCTGGATCTTGTAAATCTTTAAACGCTTTGTTCAGTTTAACAAATGCTTGCTGAGCTTGAGGATGAGAACATTTGTCAGGATGCACCATAAGAGACAACTTCCAGTACCTTAGACAAGAAAATCGCAAAAAGTAAATGGCCCATCTTTCATTTGGATTGAAAGAAAATAATAATAATAATAATAATTAAATTAAATAAAAGATACCAACAATCCCACGACTCCCGTCAAACCACAAGAGTATATAAAGTAGGAAGCCCCACTGCATTTAATTGAGTGAGGTAGTACTCCTTCTGTCCCATTTTACTAGTCATGTTTACTATTCATTAGTCAAACCAACTCTTTCTTATTTGTTTATTTTCTTTAATATTTTTTAATTACTTCTAAATTTGATTTTTGTATTTAATAGTCATTTTAATGTAGTTTCTAAATATATAAATTTTATATACTAATACTAAACTTAATATTATGAAAAATTGAATTAAAAATAACTTTAGTCAAGCCTCGTTAACCGAACCAGACACATAAAATACGGAGGGAGTATTTATTTATGGAGTATTTATTTAAACAGGTTCAATGGAACTCCAGCAACATTCAGGTCTCAAAAAGGAAGATGTATGCAACTTTGCCTCTATTTGAACAGAGTTTTTTTTCGGGTTGAAACCCAGACTTATGCACACAAAATTTTAAAAATTAAAAAGTCAACTCTTTAAACTGAATTTAAGATTCTCTATGTTGAATTGAAAGAATACACTATACACATGTAATTATAAACTGAAAACTTCCCTAACCGGAATATTAACTGAAGCATAAGGAAACTAAAAATTACTCTGTTGAATATAAATTACATAATTAAAAACTTTTAAAGCTTGAACTGGGTTAATTTATAATTTCTCCCATCTTTTTCAACACTCATTTTGCTGCAACTTTATAATACCTTAAAGGGCTGAAAAAATTATTTACTCAAAAATCTGTAGAATGTATTTGCCAAAATTTAAGCCGGTTCACGTAAGACAGTCACGTAAACAGAAGGGACGCATTATTAGTCTGGTCAAATTATAACCATTCCAAAGCATTTTGTGTAGTGAACCTTTAGGAGATCTTTCTATAATTCGTTTGTCCTAAATAATTAGATTTTTTGTGCTGGGACATTCTGATTTTACCCTGTTCTGGTAATCGACCTCACACCCAAGAACACTGCTTAAAAACAAAACTAGAGAAGAATAAGCATTCCAGAAAATGGCAACTTACCTCTTCTTCATGTTTTCACTTGCCATATTTCTGTTCATTCCCAAAACATCATAGGGATTGTCTTCCTCAACTCCCATAATTCTAGTAATCTAACAAAGGAAAAGCTAATTAGTCTTCTGCAAACACTAATGGTAATTGCTATATGCAATATATAGATGTAGCAAGAAGCCAAGAAGATATAAAATTCTAACCCAAAACTTAAAATATGACAAGAAACATAATTTCACAATGTTGACATGTGTGCTGTGACAATGTAACATCGGTACAAGCACTGTCATGTGCTAGCATGTGATACTAAATTCACAGAATAGTTGTATCCTTTGATATTTCAAAAGAGGTTAACGAAATATTAGAAACAAAGTAGACAGTGCAACTGAAAGCAACAATTTATCAAATGCCAAAGTAACAAAAAGCAACATATATAGGATATAATTTAACATATGTATGACACAAGTTTTTGTCTTTAATTTGATGATTTGACGAACATATGACACAAGGTTATAAAAGTGTAATATCAGGCTGGCTGTTTTACATCTAAGTTATGACCACAATTCTAAGGTTCTCAGATAAGTCTCGTTGATGTACTTTGCAGGTGGAAAGGCAGCCCAAATAGTTCCACAAAAATGTGTTACAAGCACCCCTCCAAAGTTGCAGAGGAAAAAAAATACTAGAACTAACAAGAGGGGAAGGTAAACACCTGTAGCAAAAATGCACATAATTTTCAACAAAAAATGTGAAGGATTTTTTTCAAAAGTAAACCGGAATACATAAAAAATGGTTTCTAAAAAAGATAAAGGCAATAAAAACTAAAACATAGACAATTAAGTAAATGTAGACAGAAGATAAACCAATTTTAAAACTAATTAAATAAACTATTTGACATTTGACAAGCATTAGTGAGAAGAGTTAAAGAATGAAAGCACCTCTTCAAAACGCTCTGCTTCATTTGTGGACTCAGCCTCAGTCACCACCGCAGGAGGCGGAGGTCCAATAAACAGTTCGCTATCTTCCTCCAACTCAGCCTCCCTAAATATGTACAGCAAGAAAAACAAATATATATTAGATAATTGGCACATTAAGAATTTTTGTAAGAACTTTTAGAAGCATTAGATTTGTGCTAGTGGTCTTAAGCCAAAAACCAGATGCCTAGTGGCTGGAAGCCTTGAACCAAAATTCTGTGAGACAAGCACAACCTTAAGATAAACCAAGAGAGGGAAAATGCAGCTATGTCACCCATACACTATTTATACGACACTCCCATAGGCAACACTTCAATTAAGCAAATGAAGTGCATGTAATGCATGCTAATGGGACCTGTACTAATTTTCCGAGCAATTATTTAATATTACAAGCAATGCAAGCTAATGGGACCAGTATTAATTTTCATGTATCATCTACACAGTTGCATAAGGACATCCTTCAGCAGACCAGTCTGAGTAAAAAAAGTCTTGATTCATCATTTATTCCTTAAGACAGCTAAATTTTAAAGTTATCCTTTATCAATAATAGAAAGTAAACAAGTCTGAAGCAAGTGAACATAGAAACATGTACAAAGCATAAACCTCATCTCCTCCTGTGCTTCTGCTAGTTTGGCAGCTGCAGCAAGTAATTCAGCAGATGGCATCGCAGGTCCAATCATCCTGAACAAGTAGGAAAAAGCAGAGTAAATATGAGGAATAAGAATAACATTTGCTTTACATAAGAAAGAAATTCAGCAAAATGCATTTCATTCTGAAAGAAAAATCTTCTTAAGGTTGTGAAAAATAGTAAAAACACAGCTAAATCTATTGAAATGAAGGAGTAATATACTACACACTAAACACTGTCCAAAAAGACGGAAGAGATCCAGTTACCTCTTCCTTGGAGCTGAGGTTTCTTCATTAGGTAGACTTAAATTAGCATTATAAGTGTCAGCCTCTTCATTTGGCAAACTCAAGTTTGCATTATGGCTATCAGCATCTGGTGACTTTGACTGCTTATTACTCTGCAACGCAGAATTATCAAGATGTTGATTTTGAAGCTGCGTGTGGGAGTGAATTATTGATCCCACACGTTCAAGTGTAGGACACGCTTTTGATGGCAGTAGAAAGACAAGATCACCATTCTGCTTAAGCTTCAAGGAAAGAAACAGCTTTCTCAGGTGCTTGACCAATAACCTTTCAGATAAACCACTTATATCAACAGCTTGTCCATCATCAATCATCTTCAGAAGCTACATATACCAAATTTACAATAAAATGTCAGTTGCAAATTGTTGCAAGTTTTATTTGAAATGAATCCTTTAGAAGCGCAAAACTTGCCAAGCAAACTTCAATTAGAAACAGTGTTTTTAAACCTGGACTGGGCAGTAGGCAGCCTGGTGTGAATAGGCACAACCATACAAGTAATGATTGATTATGAATGATCAAGTAAATTCAGACATTGTCCAACTCAATGAGACTATTCAATCCTAAAGAAAATGTGTGAATCTATAAATAGAGAGAGGCCTCAATTTGATGTTTTCTTTCTATACTACTCCATTACTTTTCTCATATCATAAGAAGAGAAAAAAGCACTCCAAATTGTTCCACGGTGAACATGAAACTTCTGCAAAGATCCGGATCCTATACAGCATTTTTCACTGTCAATACCAGGTAAATTACCCTATTTCTGCAAAGATCCTGATCCCCTTCACAATTCCCACATTTTTCCACATACTTCATGAGTCCATCCCTTTAACCAATTCTCTTAATACTGATCTGGTAACTTTCTTCTGGAACACTAACTTTAGCCTTTAGGTATCAAAAGATTTTTCTTATTCAATTTCTCAGTATACAAAGATAAGCCTACCAACATATTGAAACAATATGATGAGGCACATAGATAAATGAATAGCAACCAGCATCCTGTTTTACCATGTTTTCTTGAATATTTCTAGCTGAAACATGGAATTTAGTATTCTCATTTAAATCCCATAAAATGAGCATCTCTATTAGTTTCATTGAGTAAAATTTCAAAAACACTACATGTTAACAAGCTAAATAATCCTCTACATTTCTAAAAAGAGAACGAAGGGAAGAAGACATGAATTATTTATGCAACAACTATTTCCCCCAAAAAAAAAATCATAATTTACCTGCTCCAAATCACCAGCTACGGCAGGGAACTTCTTCAAAATCCTGTTGACGACATCATTAGGATCCTCCCTTGACCTCTCGGGATTGTCGGATTCGGAACCGGTGGCATCAGAAGCCGACTCGTCCGAATCCGAATACCTTCTCCTCGATTTCCGACCACTGCTCCTACTGCTTCCATGTTTCCGTTTACTCCGGTGCTTCTTATCCCTCCTTTTTCGGTCTCTGTCCTTGTCGCCCTTTGAAGAAATCCTGCGTCTCTCGTCGCGACGCCGTTTCCTGCTGCGCCTATGCCGCTCGATTTCCGAGTCGGACGATTCCGAGGGAGATTGTGAAGGTGTAGAGGAAGTGGGAGAATCGTCCTCCTGTCTGTGCTTCTTCTTTCTATTCGAATGGTCTCCCATGCTATCTCGGAAACTTTGCTGCAGCTTTGTAGTTCAGAAAGAAGGAACTCCGCAAGGACTAATGGAGTTTATTTTTTGGGCATGTCTATCATGCCAGGTTAGGGGCAATAGCGGTATTGTGGAGAATGTTAGATTCATGTTCCTGTTTGGTTTAGGGATTATTTTTATGTTATATTAATTTAAATTTTTTTTTACTTTAATACCCTTAATATATTTTTATGTATTTCAATAAACTAGTTTTAAAATTAAAATAAATTAATTAAATAAGACAATAATAACAAATATAAATACATAATTTAAAAATAATTAACTAAGAACTTTAACTTAAGAAACAAAATAACTTTATAATCTAACATAACATAATAAGAAATAAAATAAAATATATAATTACAAAAATAATTAAATATGATATGTATAATAAGCTAACATAAAATATATATATATATTTCATAATAATTATAATTAAAATGGCAAAATAGCAAATGTGCATGGAAATGTTATATTACCTAAGATTTGTAAGGGAAACACATCCCCTTCAAAATTTTATGTGGAGGGGATATTATATTCCTTGGGAAAAGTTGCATTCCCTTAGAAAAGTAAGATAACATGAACCAAACATGGGAATGTATTCCAAAGCTCACACTCTCTCGGTTGTGTTATATAACTTGAACCAAACACCCCCTAAGAGATGTCGGAAAAACCAATTTGGTCAGCACTTTGTCCCTTAATTGGGTCGGCAGGTATGAACGGGGATTAGTCTGAGTATGGTACGGGTTTAAAGATGTTTCTTACAGTTAGGGTCTGCTCAGGACATTTCGTGGTCTAACAAAAAAAATGGTCAAATAAGCTCATAAATGTTTTTAAAAAATTAAAATTACGCACTTTAACATGTTATATTGAGACAATGAAGTTCAAAAACTAGTAACATTAGGGTTCCGACGTCAATTTTATCCATATCCGGCAATCAACGATTGTCGAATCGTCACCGGTCGGCTGTCGTCGTCTACCAGAGGCGCCTTCTTCGGCGAAAGGCGACCAACTTCCTCGACAGAGCGACTAGTTGGGCGCCTTCCATGGAGAAGGAGAACTGTAAAATACAATCGCCTTCTCTTGTAGACGACGACTGACGATAGTTTGGTCATCGCCGGATATGATAAAATTGATGTTGAATTATAATGACCTATAATAGCAGGTCATTTACCAGTTTTGGACTTCGTTGCCTCAAATATAATATGTTAAAGTGTGTAATTACACTTTTTAAAAGTTTACGGACTAATTGACTTTTTCAGATAAAGTTTAGGGGCTTATTTGACCATTTTCCCTATTAAATACCACCCATCATCAAGAGATCATTACAAATGATATAATGAGGGTTTACAAACTATTTTAACAAATCAGGCATAAGAAGGGATTCCAAAGTAATTTATGGGCAATTATATTCGCATACCACTTAACAAAATAGATATTTATCAATAAGAACTGACTTAACATATAGTTAATATCTAAAATTAGAAGATCAAAAGAATAAACATCCTTGGGAGCCTTTAGATTATGCACAATGTGCGGTGCATTTTTTCAACCAGGATTTGAGAGAAAGCATGTTGCATGATCCAACTTAATGTCTCACGAACAACCATTGCCTCTGTTTCTTTTGGAGAAAACTCACCTCTACTAGGTAAACTCACAACTGTAATGAAGGGTCCAAATTCATCCCTAATGATCCCAATTGAATCCCACCCTATTATTTGTCACATCTAACACTGTGTCGACGTTGAGTGTAGTCCACCTGGAAAGAGGTTTTTCCAACTCGGTACATGATTTGATATGATTGTTGTATTTGGGTGGTGACCACCTTGACATCTGTTGAACAATTGTTCCAAATCATAATGTTTCTAGCTTCCTAAAGGAGAGTAATACCCTTGGGTCTCTCATCTCCGATCAAAACTAAATGGAGGCGAAACAGAGATTCTTTGTTGTCTATATTGATTTGACAAGACATAGACAACGTTGATCTGGACAAAAATGATGATGATGATGATAATAATAATAATAATAATAATAATAATAATAAGTTATTTAAAATTTCAAGGGGTGTTATGTCAACAAAAGAGAACGTTCATATTAGTTTGAGTTGACATAAAAAATCAACATCTACATGCTTATACGTAAATATGTAATTGAGACAAAAATAGATTAATTGCATTTTTTTTTTTTATAGATTCTGAGAGTATTTAAAAAAAAAAAATAAAAAAAAAATTGAGTGCTCCTTACAAAAAAAAAGGTGCCCAACTGTATTACCTTATAAAGAAAAGAAAAACATATTTGTAAAGTGAAGGTGGAATACATTCAAACTTTGACATAAGTTTATATTTTCCATATTAATACTCTGCAAAAAAAAAGAAAAAAAAAATACTTGGCATTGATTATTTAACAGAGACAGATCCTGCCAGTTGCCTCACTCACTCACGTGACACACCCGAGATAAGCATGCCCCGTCCGCTCCAGCAGTCACACAACAGCAAGTTCACATTAACATCGAGGGGTGCTTCTGTAATTTCACATGCTATCTAAACTCTAAATCTACGCACACAGACAATCGGCCGTTTGTCTGATCCACTTTCCGGCGACGCGGAAATCTCTCCGTTTGTCCACAACCTCCACACTCGCCTTTCAACATCTTCAGAACTCCCCTTTCAGCACACTAAAACGCGACTACACCCTGTTGCATTTGTACAGGGCGTTAGTACACTGTACAATGCACCAATGGCTCAGTACCGACAATCGGGATACGGCAATGGCGGCGGAGGATTCGCTCGGAATGGTGGAGTCGCACCGGATCACGCGCCGATTGTGACTCGCCACTCCACGCACAAGCAGCAGCCGCGGCATGCCCATCAACATCACCGTCGGTTTAAGGTCCGCAAGATCTCGATCGGTGCTTTCGTCGTCATTCTCTCCGTCGCCTTCACCGTCTCCGTCGTTGCTTTTCTGTATATTACTTCCCAAAATAAAGGTAAATGCAAGCTTGTAGATACCGATGTTTTTGTACTGCAGTCCAGACGAGTGATTTTAGCTAGTTTTGGCTTTAGGATAGTTACATTTAGTTGTAAAATGAAGCTGGTTGGTTTTGTCTATTTCTCCTTTGTTAAGTTAACTGCTTAGATTGGGATTACTTAAGTTTTGGTTTAACTGAATGCTTCAATGAAACTCTTATAAATCTAATAAAGTTAATAGTCTTTTCATCTTACTATCTGTTGTACTTACTGGCTTGTTCATTTTTATTCCACATTTCATATATTTATGTATTTGAATTAGTGGAAAGAATTCTAAGGAATACCTTTGCTTTTAGTAAGGTCAATAGTTTGATTCATTTCAGAGCTCTAAATCAAAATTATGTTAAAATCTTAGGTAATAGTGAAGACGATTACTAGTAAGTTATTTGGTCTTATTTTGTATATATTGTCATACTCCCTAGATTTTGCTTCTTGTATGTAGGCACAAGTTTTGGGATAGATATCAAATTGGTAATTTTTCGTTATAAAAAATCTTTTAATGAAAAAACATCCAAAATGGATTCACAACTTTTGGGATGCGACACTTTTAATGATGAATCCATGATTTACGCTGGGACATAGGATGATTAATGTTGATCTGTTCAGAAGTATTTATTTGTTGGGTTAGTGATAAGTGTTCATCCAATGATTATCTAGGTCTTCATCTTATAAACTGTCCTTTCTCTCTCTTTGCTGGTGCAGAATTTAATCAAAGTCATTCTCAGGATGTTGACATTGAAGAAGATGTGGATTTTCTTACCAACGTGACACGGGCACAAGGACAGAAGGTCCATTTCGGACATGGATCAGTTAAACATGGCAGGGATTCCCGATATTGGGACAGGGATGACAGGAGAAGAGACGATGATTATAGTGAGGAGGAATTGGAAAGAAACCGCAATGTCACCCAGGATAAGGTCCAATCTCCTCCAAAGGGAAAGAACAGTGATGAGAAGTCTTCAAGTTCTGAATCTGTTAAAGATTTGGATCATAAAGGCAAAGGCTTATACAATGAAGCTGGGCGTGATGAACTAAAAGTGTATGAAGCTAAATATCAGGCTTCTTTAGACAGTATTGGCCAATCACAAGAGGGAAATATCACGGAGAACCATCCATCTGATATTATAAATAATGGAACAAAGAGTGAGATGATAGACATTGATAAAGACAATTCAAACACGGAAGAATATGATGAGTATGACCGTGAAGATGGGGACTATTCTACTACTGTTGGTGTGAATAACATACATTCTTTTGGTAAACATGATGCTGGGATAAAGAATAAAAGTTTTAAAGAGGCTGGTAAAGCTTCCTCTGTTTTGTTTAATGATCAGCCCTTTTCAAAGTCTCAACATTTCAAAGGTAGCACAAATTTAATCCATGACAGTCAGGCTGCAAGGACTGCATCTGAAAAGCGACCAGCTTCAAGGAAGAGACCAAAGCGGCGTAAGTTAGCTAACTTTTGCTGCTTCTTCTCATTATTTGTGTTATGTGGTTTAGATAATATACTGTTCCAGCTTCTTATCTATATTCGCTACTGCTTGCTTGAAATTATTGAACTGTGTTAGTGCACATGTGAGAAAGAGAGATGTGTGCACAGTGGTGCAAAGTATCATAAATATTTGAATGCAAAGAGGTTGCTGCTCAAGAAGAAAAAGTCTCCCCTCATCCTGTCGCGTGTGCACTTTTTGATACGTAATGATAGTTCATGAAAGGGCATAAAGAAGATGCTTATGAGAATCCTCTCAGCTCAGCTACTAATCATTGCCTTGGTAAGCTATTTCCTCATTGTTAGGAATGCGAATGGGTGTTAGGATTGCGAAGGGATGTTAGGAGTACAGAGTGATTAGTGCTAGATGTAAAAATACCTCTGAGTTAATTCCACCTTTGGTTCCTAGAATGTTGTGGCCATCTTAAATCTAGTTGACAAATTTCAATTCCCACACATTTAGCCTCTACTTTTAAAATCGCTCTCTCATGTAGAAGTGTGGAATTTGGTGAAATGTCCACAAAGTGGGGGCATCTTGGACTAAATGTGGAACATTTTTGAAAGTAGAGGATTAA